ATCTAGACACCTGGAGTTCAAGTTTGATGCCTTCGAGAAATGAACTAATAGTCATCGGTATCATCAACACTAGGACAAATGCACGACAGACAGTTTAAACATATATATTTTTTATCCAAAAAAGATTTTGTACAAGTAATAGAGAAATTAACTTGAGCACAAAAAACAGTGCAAGCAAACTAGTACTGAAGTCATTTAAGTTAGCACTTTAAAAGTTCTTTTAGCAATCTACTCGAGAAGTCTGCAACTTTCATTAGTTTTAATATGAGCCCCTTTTCTTTTCAAGATTAGATTTTCCTTTCTGAACCCAGAAGAATCATGAATGACTGAAAATGTCTTCAATGTATCCTAAGATGTTCCAAAAGTGGCCCTCACAAGTAAATGAATTCAAATGGAAATAATTTATCAAGAAACAGGTCCCACTGTGTATAAAGTCCATCTCTGAAAAAGGTCTTCGGAACCCAATAGTCAGGCCATAGGAGGCATCCTAGAAAGTCAGTATTATTGCCATCATAGCAATAGCATAGCAACAATTGTAATGGATCATCGGCCTCACAAACACGGTGGACCAAAAAAATCACATTGAATAATGAGATGGCTGGGAAGATTGAATTTGGGAAAAATGAATAAGATTAAGTCAGAAATATGAAATGAGCAAAATTCTGCAGGACCAGGAGAGAGGCTTAGAGATTGACATGTGAAGGCAGGGATGTACATTGCACTGATCGGGGGCATTTTTAGTAACTGAGGAAGCACGTTGAAAATATGTCCCACCCAAGTAATATTGATAAGTGATGTGAGCAGGGGTATTGTATTGGCCAGTCATCATAAGGCCCCATTCGCGCGGGGAGGGGGGGGGTGTCTGACAACTTTCATAACTTTCAAGGTTATTTGTTTGAGTTACAAAACCTTGATTTCCTCCAGAGTAAGGCCAAATAAAGTATCCATACTATGGCACAAACTTTTTCAGTTCTTTCACAATCATTTTGCAACCAAATAAAAGATATGACCAAGAAAATCAAGCAAAATTAAAAATACAAAAGACGCCCAAGTTTGGTATATATTCTGCCTCAAGGTTACTTAAAGCATGGAACATATTTAAGAATGGGGACGAAAAATATTAAAAAGTGGTAGGCTGAGATGGTGTTAATGCAAAACACAAACCTTCTTTGTCAGTGGTCTTTTGGGTGGCTTGTAACTTTTCCGGGATAATAGAAAAAGAATCACTACAAACAGAAGACCCTCAACAAATAGATGGCCTACAGAAAAGTGAGGAGATAATTATGTTCTGAGTCTAAAAATTTCAGAAATGAAAAAATAAGCATGCGAAACTTCCAGGAATTGTCATCATACCTCCAATGTTGACTCCAAAGACAACAGCTCGTGCTGAGGGGGTATCAAAAGCCAATGTTACACAATCTGAAGCAGTTCACACAGTTTTTTCAAAAGCCATCACTATTGTATCCATTGGCTGAACTTAGCATGCACTCAAGAATTCAGTCGAGGTACCTACAGAGAAATTGAAGTATAAAGTCCCAGTGCTCTCAATAGGTTGTACCAGAGTTCCAACACAACGATGTCAAATGTGAATGTTCACGAGCAGAATCACATTAAACAATATTACAAACGTGATGATTGGGCATACTTTCATTAAAACACCAAATAGAAAAATATAATGTATTTATAGAACCAAGTTTTAGAGAATCATGGTATTCATTCAAACAACATTTTTAGCTAGTTAAAAGAGCACTTCAAGAAACCTTCAAAAGGAGCCAACGTTTCAGAAGTTGCATGAGAGACTTACGGTAACTAACTCAATGTACTCATCAATGCAAACCACTTCAAAAAGTGACCATCTGAAGCAACACTGATCTTTTCAAGGCTAGACCAAGTGATGGGCACAAGGTAGGACTATGACAGTCAATCAAACAAATTACATCAACATGGCATAGTTTTTATTTCCAAGGAATATAAATAGATGAAAAAATGTTTTAATAATTTCAGCATTATTTTGTTGACAATTCTACCTTTGAGAACTACGGTTTTATGAATGAGATAATTTATCATCCCACTTATATGTCCAGTCATGATGTCACCTTCCTTTAAATTTATCATTGAATTGAATCATATTTATTCAATATTCCAATCAGACATTCGAAAGTTCAATCATAAATTATTCCTATACAACTATAACATTAGAAGTGTGCAAAACTTTAGGAAATGTTTCCTTAACTACCAATCCAATCCAGCACCTAAACAATTTGCAATACATATTCAAATAAGCTTCAAATCACATATTTAAACACATTCAGCTCATTGAACAAACATATCGAGCTTTTGTTTAAGCTGCTAACTTTAATTCGCTAAAACTCAAGATTTATCAATAAATAAACAAATAGATAACACATTGGAAAATACTGATCGGTTCGAACGAACACAAAACCTGACGTCAATAATCAGAACCTAGATTTGCCACGTAAGAGACTGTATACAAAATTCTGTAAATAATTCACCTTCTCGGAGGGAGAGACGAGGCGGCGGGTGAAGGACTGAGAGCTGCAAAGGCCGTTGTTGATATGACTAGGAAAAGTAGAAAATGAAAACCATAACGCAGATGAGATTCAAAAGAGTCTTAGAATTGTCCTCAATTTTATGCACAAACCGCGTGAATGGAATATGTGTGTGTGCTCGTTTTTGGCGTCATTTTTCCCTCGGCAATTTTCCGCCAGCCAGCTTATAAAAGTCTCATCTTTGCCATATTTTTTCGAATTAATTGTTCCAATGGTCACTCAACTTAGGCACGTGTTTTTTATTGGTCACTGAAGTTTAAAATATCAAGTTTTCATCGGTGAACATAAGTCCATATCTTCAACTGTTTACTGAAATTTAAAATGTCGAGTTGTACTTGACTCATTAGTATAAATGTTGAATTTTGGAAAATGTTGACTTTACAGTGAGTAATGAACAATATTTTTTAAAGTTTAGTAGCTAAAACTCGACATTTTAAATTTTAGTAAGCAATCGAATTAATGCTAGCATATATTGTTGACTTCAATCAAAACAATGCATCATATTATTGCTTATTGTGACCAAAAAATGATTAAATATGTTGACCCAAAAAAATGTTGCCAACAGATGTCGGACCGACCCACGCACACGTGAACGAAGATCCTACACGTTAAGACATGTGGACAGTCTAGAACGAACGTATCAGGGGCGTGGAAGTAGCTCAACGATGCGGGACGAGAACGTTCGAAATCCGACGGGATGTTCGTAATCCGATTGTACAATAATTACCAATCGGTACTCATGAATGTGCATGTAAATATGTATGAACTCGTATTGTGTTGCAAGATATTATGAAAGAGAGAGTAAAGTGTGGTTTCTTGTATTGATTCTTGCATTAACCCTTTAATGTTACACAAGGGAAGTATTTATAGTGGTACATGTGAAATGACAGCCCTTGGATGAGGTGGCACGTGACCTCATCTCTTTAATCCAAACATCCAATCCTAGGCATCATCCTTAACTTGTTAGCTTACTGCGCATTTATTGCTTATGCAGAACCCCCATGCTAATGACAAGACTTGACATTTACACTTATGACAAACGTTCCATCAATCATTCAAACAAGATCTTTATGTAGAAGATCTCTTGGGAGAAGTGATCATGGAAGATGTTCCTTCATGGTTCGGAAACTTCTGCTTCGGCTTCGAATTTAGGGCTTCTGCCACTCACGTAATACTTCCGCTTTAGGATTTCGGCTATCTTTTCAATGATCTCGTATCATGGCTTCGGTTCATGGGTCTCGGCGTATGGACTTCGGCTACTTTCACAGGCCTCGGTGTATGGGCCTTAGCCATACATGCCACCTCGCTGGAATGCCACGTGGTTCGGATTGAATGGGCCATAGGTCCAAGTAGGTTGGTCAAGTATGACAACACGTAACAAAATAAATACTTGTAGAATGACAAAATCAAACATGTTCTGCTCTGTGTATTTGATTCTAGATAAAGGGAAACTGTTTCGCGCGGATAGTCGCTAACAATTAAAAAGGGATCAGACGATTGTGTAAGGGACAAACCTCTTGAGACAAAGTCCCAAAAAGGGGTGTTTTATTGGCAATGACTTTACAATTGGAATTTAAACAGAAATGCCTCTAAGGGGCGCAAGCACACGAGTACTGAAAAGAAATGTTATAAGTCTAAACTAAGAAATTAAAATTATATATTATCTGTTTGAGAGTGTTTGATTCGGGGTCCCTTGCTCTATGTCTTTTCTTCCTTTTATATTTCTTTGATGCTCTCTTTGTGATCAATCGCTTAGAAACCACTTAATTGCTTTATAACTGCCCATTTTCTTCATGGTGGCTAACTTATCGTGGAACTGCCGTCTCTAACTGCTGCTATTACTCTTTGTCGTTCAACATTCCTCAACTGAATATCCTTGAATCGTGGAAAGTGATAAGATTACCCAATAACTGCTTCGATAATTACACTTTTGGATAACCATAACATCTCATGTTTGCTAAGATCCTAGGCGATTCGAAAGTTTTGGCAAGAACAGGGTCATAACTCTGGGCGACTGCAAGGTACTTCATTCGCTCAGATCCTGGGCGTCTTGTAAGTTTGGGCGATAGTGTTACCGTGTTCATGGGCTTCCACTGCATTCATTCATAACCCTATTTGGGCCTTTATCCTGAATTGCCCAGTTGTGCTTCATTGTTTGGGCTGCACTTTTTGCATGTTAACAATTACCCCCCCAATATGGCAGAATTAATACCAATTATTAATTTTTGCCATATTTACTTAGTGCTTCCCAGCAACATTTGAAATTCCCAATAATGTCAATCATTATTTTTTTCCATAGCCTGAAAAGGTGCGACGTTGCAAACCCTTATAACCCCCAAATACACGTCATTTCATCGCACTACTAAATCACACCTCATTGCTTCGCGCTTCTCTCTCGCAATATTACTATTCATCTTCTTGCTTCTTTGCTACGTTTCTCGAGCAAACTTCAACAAAGCTTTATTTCGTTCCTAATGGCTGCTTCACAATCCCAATCTAGTGACTCTTTCAGTTTCGAAGACTTCCAGAAACTCCTCACTCGGCCATATATAACTCTGAACTTCCTTGCACCAGCCAATGCCGAACTCAATGAGTTCTATCTAGGTTCTTCATTCAACAACGCCGAGGCCGTCGAACAAGTGGCGGTGGGCCAGCTATTCCCTTGTACCCAAAGCCCTCCGTTTCTAAACTCTTTGCCGCTGAGGCCGCTTCGCGAAAGAGGTATTCGTACTTGGCCTAAATCTGATGTCGTTTTCCGTAGATGACATGCTCGCCTTGTAGACCATGGTCCTACCAAGGTAATTTTTGATAATGCTAGGATTTCAGATTTGTTAGAAATCTCTCTTCAACCCCCTGTTTTTGATTCAGCGCTTTTCTCTATTGCATTAAGTCTTTAGTCCTCTGAGTATAATACTTTTGTTTTCTCTCTTGGTCCCATGACCATTACTTTAAGGGATGTTGGAGCCTTAGTAAATTTGCCACCTTTGGGCGATACCATTTTCCCTGGTATTTTGATTTCTAGTGTCGCCCCAAAATGTGACAGAAGACTCACCGAATCCTATTCAAGCCTGCAAAGCTGTTATAATCACTCGAGCGCTGAGCATTCCCATGCTGAGTGTGTGGCTTTTATTCAGATTTGGCTTTGTAAATATGTTTTGTGTGTGCCAAGCATGAAGCCTTCTATGAGCTATTTACCTATAGCGCACGAATTGGCGCGTGGCAGGCCCCTGAATTTGTGTTCTTTCTTTTTGGCCGCTGTCTATAGAGGCGTGGCTTCTCTCCAATTCCAATTGAAGAATGGTGCATCTCCCGCTGACAGTGGGTCTCTTTAGTTCACTCAAATGTGGTTGAGAGCCTATTTTCCCTCACTTGGTGTTCTATCATTTTCCCTTCCTTCCGCTAGCTGCTATGGGCTAGCTATTGGCCCACTGAGCTTTGTAAATATGTCCAGAAGGGACATTTTTTCATTCTTTTATACTTTGAATTCAATTTCTTCTTTCTTTCCTTTTCCTCCCTTTTTAACTCAGATTATGTGCAACCCCTATCTACTCTGGACAGCACGAGCACCTCTCTGCTTGTCTGGGTTCAGTTTTTGACTGAGAGGGAGTTGTTCTATGATATTTTGACTGGAACCAATGCTGAAGTTGGGGTTGAAATATATGCTCCCCAATTTTTTGCTCGTCAACTTGGTTTTGGCCAAACATGGCCTGTTTCCCCTTGTTATTCTAGAAATTTGATAGATCGCTTCCATACCATTAATAAGGCAGAGGCAGAAGCTATAAATGCTCGCAATCTTCTTTTGACGAGTAAATTTTCATTAGCCCCCTTCAATCCTTGTCATGCCATCCATCCTCTTTTTGAACAACTCTAGCTATCGGTGCAGCGCAGATTGTTTGTAACTGATGCCAATCACGCTTTCCATTCACTGGATCAGCCGGACATTTCTTCCACTTCTCCTGTTTTGGTCACCCCTGTGTCCATTAGGAGTCCCTCCTCTTCCATTCGTGCTAAACAGTCTGTTCGTCCATCTACTTCTCTTCCTGCCAAGCCTACTGCAGCTAAGAGTGTCCCAAGCCACAAACGGCCAGCCTTAGCATCTCCCATTTTGGAAGATGATGATGACACTCCTCTCATTGTCAGGAGAAAGGTAATTAAATTAGTTTACTCACGAGCATACCTTTCTATACTTGGAACTTTTCTATGTGCTGATGGCTTATTCGGATTTCTCAGAAAAACTCAGCCTCTCCTTTGAAGGCTTTGGTGTTGGCAGCTCCTGCTCCATCACCTTCTGCTAAGGCTGCTTTATCCAAACCAGCTGATAAAGGGACAACGCTTAAAGAGACACCTTCAGTCCCGAAATCTTTATCACAACTAATGGATGAGCCACTTTCTTCTCAGGGCGTCAACCCCCCAAACGTTGAACCAGAAGGTAATACATTCTTTGATGTTTTACCTTTGCTTGTACTATTGGTTTTTGATTTGTTGCTTTTTGAATTTTGCAGATGTTCCCATGGATTTGCCCGTTGTGGCAAAGTCTTCTCGCTCAGACAAGGGGAAGTCTTCACAAGTGGTGGAGCCACAGGTAGTAGATTTGGCTGGGGATATGCCACCTCTCAAGATTGCTGATGAGGTAAACTCTGCTTCACTTTTACTTCCACTTTGTTCATTGTAGTGAAAACCTTCAACGTTGGCAACTTTCTTTGTAGGATGCTGATAAGATTGTGCGTTCCATCCAGGACTTGTTCACTTCCTGGGGGCAAGTCAAGACGTCTCGCTCTGCTTCAACCAGTCGTCCTTCTGCTTCTTCAGAGGAAGATATGAAGCTCCTCAAGCAGTCGATATTTGAGTATGTGTCCTTTATGGATATGGACATCGGTCATGCTAGTGCTGCCAAACATAAGGATAAGCTTGAGCACTTGAATGCGAAATTGGAGCAAGCACTGACACTTCCGTCGCTCAATCTTTCTGCTGATTTTAAAGCGACGTTGAAAGTTGTCCATTCCGAGGTTCTCTCCTTGCTGGCCAAAAATGTTGAACTGAAGGCCAAAAGTACTCAATATCTTCGCGCTGTATCTGAAAGAAAATCTTTGCTTCTGGAGATCAACAAAGCTGAGGACAAATTGAAAGAAATCTCTTCTAAAGTCATG